TCAACCACTAATGATTGTACACTTAAAATTGTTCTTAAAATTAATGCAACACCAGAGCGGAAACTAACTATACACGTGGCATCTGCAATTCTATAAATTGACAACTGAAACTTGGGGCCCATTTTTTTATCTCATTAATCAAATTATCGTTATTTCGAGCCCTTAACTTCTCGTCAAACGTGAAAGATACATCGAACAATAATATAGAATGTTCAAGTGCAGCATGTTCTGTGTGAAGTAACTAGACCGGCAAATCACAGCCGTTTAAAAACTTCTGTATGAAACAATCTCTTGCATTATATAATTAAGGGTGTGTTTGACACCCATTTTTGTGAAGAATAAATTTTGGAATAGTGATTGATGGGAAGAATGTGTGGTTGAAAAATAAAAAGAATTTTTGGGTTTATGTGTAATATTATTTTATTGATAGAATATGTGGTTGAAATGAAGAAAGAGAAAAAAATGAGAAATAGAATGGGAAGAGAATGGGTGTCAAACGGGGGCTAAGAGCACCGTAATTCTGTGGACTGTTCTGTAGCCGATTCCCTTTTGAACGGTCGACAAAAAGAGGATTAAAAGTCAAAAGAAATTACTGGAATTCGTGTCACATGCAATCCATAAAGTTTTTTTATTTAGCGAATTTAATAATAGCTAAAATAAAATATGGAACTTTGGATTTAATTAATACAAGCATTTGACAAATTATTCTTTTTGGAAATTCCTTCTTTTTTTTTTTCATTTCCTTTAGTCCATATATTTCAAAATATTTCTCCAATCTTTGATCATACTTTAACTCGACTAATGTATAATTTTTTAAATATTATCTACGTAATTATCTGATTTTTAAGATAATTAATTCTATTCGAAATGAAAAATATCATTCATTAACTGTGCTGAAGGCTAACATCCAATGAGACTTGTGAAGTCATTATCACGTTGTTCAATATATTAAAAATGCATTGATCGATATCACAATCTCGTGTGTTTGGTGGCTTAGCACTTATTCCCATTGTAATACGACTATATTGAACAGGTAAAGATTGCGTCAGTCAACATTTTTTCGCCCACTTTGGTCCCTTTCTGACGTGTACCCTATAAGTATATATCATTCAACTATAAGGCGTGTAGACGCGTAAGTACACATACACAAAACTCGGTTGCCCCATACATATAATTAACCGTCCGTTTGAACCCCATTTTTTTCAAGTTTTCATTC